CTTTTACTTTATTTTACAGTTTACAGTTTTTACACACACACACACATGAAATCTGGAAATCTATGATCTGGAAGTGGACAAGTATGAAATAATTCGAAAAATCTATTTTGTTAACAAGCTGATCAAATGTTGTGATTAAACACCTAAAGTTAAGTCATCCGGATCGAAATTTTTATTTTTCAGTGCGTGTCAGACAAACTTTTAATGAAAATAATGAACAAATTAAATCAATATTTCGTCAACTCGAGCCAGCTATTTTGTATCCATCCAACCATACTAGTCCGATGTTTCAAACTCAACCGAACGCATATGCAAACTATGGAAATCCAAAGAAACGTATATATTTTTTTGCCATACGTAAAGAGTGCAGTTTATCAACACTTTTTCAAATATATATGGGTGATACACGTAACTTAAGGTTTTGCATTTAATAAAGATGATCAAAACATTATCAGGCAGAAACGTAATGCAAGACGGTAAGATACTGGATGAGACAAAGACCAAATAATAAGTCCAATTAAAATTGAATATAAATAAATAAACTTTTTTGAAAATATCTTTTTTATTCTAAAAATATAGCGATAAAAAACAAACTTTACAAAACTTTACAATTAAAAATCCAGTTGGAACACTCAGTACTAAAATTAAAATGGTAATAACGTCATTGGGTTACATACACACATCAAGACATACATAAATGTTACCATTACATTAATTAATTCAATTATAACTAATTATAATGATGACAATTGCTCTCAGTACAAATTAAAATCTAACAAATGCCCCAGTAAAAAATTGATACATAAATGATTACGATCAAAAGTAATAAAAAAAAGTATACAAAATAATAATCAATAACTAAAATTATAAACAGCAATATAAATTACTTCAATGAAACATTGGTAACAAGCTTTTGATCAAGAGATAATCAGTTTGGAATGTTTCATTACTCTTGCTATCACATTATCACATCATTATCATTAGCATCGCTACTATTGTCTATCACCACCATCATCATGGTATTCATCATCGTCGCCATTTAGTAACATTATTATAATTATTATCTTATTATAATCTAAGAGGTTATTAATTATTACAATATTTATCATCGCCTCTTCATCATCGCCCTCAGATAGCACGAGACTTCGAGCAATAATAACAATTTGTAAATAATTAAATCATAAAATAGAATTTAAACTATTATTGAATAACACTAAGTGATAAGAGTGATATAGAGGAGATAATAAATTAGTTAATTAATACAAATGGGTACAATTTCCGTCAATATATAAATTAATAAAAATGAAGTGATAAAATAAATCGATGAATTTTATGGTGAGTGAATTGGAATCATTCCTTTTTTTTCCTGAAGCAGCACCTGTCATTGAGTGAAATTTTTTCAGAAAGAAGAATTACAACTATTTTCAAAAATTTACGAAAAAATTTATTCACCACCATCATCAATTGTCATCATCATTAATTAATTACATTTTAATTAATTTGAAATATATATTAGTAACCAGCAAAGTTTTTTCTGGTCGCTGTCATCATCGTCGTTACCTTCAGCTAAAATGTCCGTGGCTGATGTTAAAACCTTGTGAGAGTTGGGATGTTGGGAAATTGGATGTGTTGTAGTCACTCTCATTTTGTTTTTAATAAATTTTATTTATTATTATGTTAATAACAGTGGCGGATCTAAACAACTTTGACGGAGGGGCCAAAATTTGAAAATGTTTACATTTTCACGGGAGGAGAGTATTTACGGGAAGGAGCAAAGTTTTTACGGGGAGGCTAAGATTTGTGGTTGTGAGGCTGACGCCCTTTTAGCAAATCACGTTCAATTTTTGATCTGTTTTACGCATAAAACGGTTCTTTTTCTGACTTTTAAAAAAAACTGCTCGCAACGAAGGAACAGTGCCCCTCTGCCCTCCATTAGACCCCCTACTGGTTATTATTAATATTATATTATTATTATTATTGTTATTATCGATATAAACGGATTTTACTTGGACAGAAGCTCCATGTCGAACTTTAGGATGAAATATATCAGCCTTCTGTTGAATATATTAATAATGAATATAATATTAATCATGCAATCATAAATATGCAGACGATCCTAATTATGCATATAATAATAACATTAATTATGCTATCAAAATTGGGACTACTACTGGTTATAATATTTCAAAATATAATACTTAATTACCGTATCAAATAATTATACTTTGATGTAAAATATAAAATTATATTTTGCGTTAGCAAGTTAGAAATAAATGATAAAAGTAGTTTCTACATCAGCTTCTAATGTGTCTGTAGACATTGAGATCTTTGGCTTTCCCTGTTTAAATGAGTAACAGTTATTACATCTATAATTTATCATAAAAACACAAATTCATTATCAATTATTAACTAAATTAAATAATAATTAAATACACAATTTAATAAACAATAGTGTAGTTTATAAATTATTAAGAAAATTTAAATTCGAATGTTTGTACAGCAACAGGTTAGCCAGCAAGCTATGCTGTCCAAAATTAAATCTTTTCCGGTTCCGTTTAGCTAAATTCTAAATAACTAATTCTTTTAGATTTATATAGTTTCTATCTAATTGATCTTTGATTTAGTCTACCATTTCAATTAGTACGTTTATATGGCTGAATAACATCACTGATCTCATTTGTTGCTGGTAAAAAATGAAAAGTATTCTTGCATATACAGTTATTATTAACCACGGGACATTAACTCGAGAGCTAAATTCTTAATTCAAGTCTAAGCTGATAGTGGGTAACCCTAAAATTTACAAATAAAATTAGTTGAGAATCTTGAAAACATTAACTACACTGTAATGGTTTTACTAGATTTTAATGTTTTAGCGTGGATGATATTGTTAAATGGGATCTTTTAAATCTCAATCAATCAATCGATCGATCCATCCATCCATCCATCCATCCATCAATTAGTTTATAAAGCGCTATTTCCGCGATGTTCAACAGCGCTCCTCAATGAATTTTGCAAACAGATGGGTCTTGAGATCCGCTCTGAATTTCGTAAGTGATGGAGAAGTAGTCAGAGAAGTAGGTAGAGAGTTCCAGAGAAAAGGGCCAGAAAAGGCAAATGCGAGCAAAAAAGTGAGGATAACAAGATGATTGCAAACCGGGGCGTTTAGGTTCAATTGAAATATATGATAAGTACTTAAGAAATAACTTAAATTGAGACTTATACATTAATGTGTAAATTTTAAAAATTATTCTATATTATATAGGTAGCCGGTGCAAGAGAACAAGATTTGGAGATATATGGAAAAAGAAAATGGCACGAGCAACTAGACGAGCGGCAGAGTTGTATGCTTTATTTAAAGGATAGAGTGTAGAATCAGGAAGACCATATTGGAGCGAGTTACAATATTCAATCCTAGATAAAACTAAAGAAGTAAGAAGAAGAGTAGGATCGTCAAGAAACAGCGAAAGTTTTTTCATTCTACGTAGAGGAAAATAAGAACTTCTAGTAACACTATTGATCGGAGAAGAGAGACATGCTAGAATCAAAGATAAAGCCTAGACTACGAAACATGTGAGAAACATCATGAGTTTTAGAATCAGGTAATAGAGCGTTTAGATTTATTAAAACAAATTAATTCAAATTTAGAAGGATTAAGTTTATGATATATAGAGTCAGACCAAGCGATAATAGAAGAAAGACATAGAGATAGATTAGGAAGAACACTATTGAGATTAGATAGAGGAAAAGAAGTTTAAATATAAGAATCATCAGCATATAGTTGACAAGTGAAAGAAAAATTATTAATAATACAAGGTGGTTCAGAAGTATAGAGTATAAATAGAAGAGGACCAAGGATAGAACCCTGAGATACACCAGACTTCATCTAATATTGATAAAGCGAAATGAGTAAAGTGAAGAAATCAGATGTGAATGAAGTAACATTAGACCACATAGGATTTGTGGATTCAACGGAGCGAAATGCCCAAGCTTATCAAAAATTATGCAAGTTCATCAATTTGGTATGCTAGATTTGTTAACTGACTAGGTTAGTAAAACCATGAAATTCATGAAAATGACAACAGAAAAGTTTAGTATCGTACAAGAACTCACAGAAGTGTCAGGCGATGTTGACTTTGTTGACTGCTGCAAGTCAAATGAGGTGATGGATGTGACAAAAGTTGAGACCGTATATCGTCTAAAGGACCCATGGGCTGAATTAAAAGAAGCTGAATCAGAAACCTACAAATGAGATAGTTGAGGAAATCTCAGTGAAGAGCATTTTTTATATTAAATTCCATAAACCCTAACAGGACTCACACATGAAAAAATGAATTCAACTCTAAAATTGTTATCGAGGGAGAGAGTAAGAAGAATGGAATCAAGGAAATTATGAAACTGGTGCTATAAGGAACAGGCTGAAAACGACTAAGAAATGAGATTTTGAATTAAACAAGTGAACAAGGAATTGTTGAAATACAGTTGCACTGATTGAGTCCAATAAAAATTGACACGTGATGATTAATCAACAGGTAGGAAGGAATTGCAACGCGATCATGCAGAGTTAAAATTAAAAAGGCATTTAAAATTATTGTTCAATCTACTAAAGATTCATCTTGGATATCAAACTTTGCTGTAGACGCCAGAAACATCAGTGTCAATAGAAACACTGACACAAAATCAAACTTCAACACAACAAAAGAGCCTGAGCTTCTTAATTGCAAGCATTACGTAGTTTTCAATTGGTTTCAGTTTAAATCATTACAGTTTCATTTAAAGATACCTTATTTATAATCTCTCAGTTAAGTAATGCAATGAATCAAGTAATTGGATGAACTAAAACATGTTTGTTTATAGCTTTTATTTTGTCAACAATAAATGATAATTTAATATTTCAGCTGGTAACGTGATTAAACATTTGAACAAAACAAATTTCGACAAGCCACAAAATATTGAAAAGTAGAAAACTGGCAACCATGTGCTGACGTCAAACTTGACAAAATTCACCAAAAATTGAAAATGAAGTGGAAAATAAATTTTGACCAATCAAAACAAACCGCTCTCTTGACCAGCCAATCAAATTCCCAGTCGAGATCCAATTTTTTATCCTTCAAAATTTCGTGCATGAGATCGTACAGGTAAGAGTAATCAGGTGTGGCTGCAAATGACAATGACCTTACATACTTGAAGTAGGTCGACATTTGAGCTTTTGGAGGTAATTTAAATTTATATCTTAGACTATAAACCAGCTAATAGAATATAAAAAACAATAATTCGGTAATTCAAGAGCCAAAAATACAAATTTATTTTTAATAATAGTATGCTACAACAGAAAAAACACTGATATACAAACGAGGATGATTCTTGCAGAGTTCTTCAATAGTAGTTTTCTGTTTGGTCTCGCCAATCTTTTGGTATCTCTCCTTAAGAGTGTCTGCCTTGAGGCCTTGCCAGGGTAGGGAGCCCCTCATTAGATACATGGCTACATTTCCTAGAGCCTCAAGGTCATCCCTTCGACTTTGTTCTAGATGGTGTTGTGAATGTGGTGACAGTGCTGATTTAAAGGATTCACATTGTTGCAGATTAACATAATCAACCATCATGTAAGAATTAAAAAAACTCAATCAGGTTGAATAAACATAAGCAATGATCAACAATAGTTACTAACCATATCCCAAATGTGTATTAACACTCATATATCTGGCAGTTCCAGTTAAACTTTTGTGATCTTTGAAAGGAATATGGAGGTTAGTTTCAGGGTCTATGTAGCGTTTAGCTAGGCCAAAATCAACGAGAAACACTGTTCTTATGCTCTGGTATGTTTGTCGACCAATGCAAAAATTTTCTGGCTTCATATCTCGATATATCAGTTGCTTACCATGAACGTACTCCAACCTACGAACCTGAAAGGGAAACGAATTTTGTTACTGACCAACAATGGTTTTAAACTGTTATCTCCCTTCTAGATTGATTTTAAATGATACGCCAAGCTAAACATGAAGAAACATACAGAAGAAATAAGAAAAAAAAAACCCAGCAAAATCTAACAGCTTGCATTGTGAACATGGCAACTGTTTTTGTAGTGAACTTCCTGCCACACATATCAAATAACTCTTCTATATTGGGTCCCAGCAGGTCAAGGACAAGGGCATTGTACTTATTGTACTGACCATAATAGTGGGCATTTGGTATTCCTTCTGGCGTGCAAAATTGAAAATGACTAGGGTTGAGAATTTGTAACTGAAATTATTGAAAACTGTTAATCTGACTGAATAATTTGAAAAACTTTTTGTTATTAGATAATAACTGATCATTCATTAATGTCTATTTGCCTATTCCATAAAGAAGTATTTCAATAATAATTTTGATATCTATGTAAACCAAAAAATTTCAATATACCCTGTGGATTCAGCATTTTGTAATATCTAAACTCAAACACCAGCTGCGGAGTTTTAGCTTTAGTCTGCTCCTAAAAACAAGAGGCAAAGAAAAATAAATAAAATGATTAAAAAGAACGATCAAAAATCAAAATTAAAATTAAAAAATAAAATTTACCAGTTTTATTGCAACAGATTCATTTGTATGTACATTTCGACCTAAAAAAGGACAAATTCAAATTGTAGAAAGTTAAAATACAATGAGCTGAGTATAATAATGACACAATAATGAATATTTAAAATGTAATAATTATTAAAATGATGATGATGGCAAGATTTATGATAAAAATTATCAATTTTTATTTTTAAATGATAACTCTGAAGCTGATAACAACAAGAAAAATTCTGATAAGGAAAATAATAATGATAAAATAGATAAAAATGATAAAAATAATGTTGATGAGGAATATAAAAATTAAAGAGTTCATTACAAAAATGAAAATGATGATGATGAGGACATTTTGATGGCATTAAACGAACCTAAGTGAAGTTCTCCAAAGTTTCCAGCACCAATTTTTCGGCCTACAGAATAAACATTGCCTATTAAATAGGTCTGTTGATTCACTTTCATGTACCTTGCTGTGGTGGATGGGACTCTATGACAAGTTTATTTAATCATGAATCGTGTATGATTAATATTAATGCTTAAATAATTCATTTTATGAAATTTATATGAGATTTATATTTATGATAATAACGTTGGCAGGTTTATGAGCTAAACAAGAATAACTCGGTGGCTTCAAAACTTTTAATGTTCAAATCAAAAGTCATCACAATGTTAGTTAATGTTATATTGTTGTCACCCACCATTCAAAATAATTTTATTAGGAAAACAAAAAACTTAAAAAAGTAACACCAATTAATTATTAAACGGACCTGTTAGCAATATACAAGTTGTCTTTTCTTTCATCCTCAGCTGATTCTTCACTCCTGAAACATTTTTTTAACTTTTATTTTAATATAATTAAAAATTAAATAATAGATCAATCAATCAATCTTCGTTTTGCGTCCAGAGACCCGGTTTCCCGAGGTAGGACGTACAAAGATGAAAAGATGAAATTCACCAAGAAACATTTCTAACAAATGAAACACCTACATTTTTTAACAAAAAGTGTGTTTGCAGTATATTTTATTTTATGATTGCTTTGTTGATTATTTTAGTTAAATTAAATATTGCATAAATTAAATTATTAAATTTTCAATAAATTTATTTTCGGTGGGTGACTGTTACACTGAAAACAGTCAAATTTCTTCTTATTATAATTATTTCAGACCTAAAAATGTTTTTAATAAGCAGTAAGGAATCGAATTTTTTATCGGTTTTTGAAATTTTTTTTTATTTTAATTTATTTCTTTTATTTAGTGTTCGGTCTCATTTTTTCAAACGCAGTCAACAATCCGCCATGCTGAACAAAAAAATCTTTATATGTGATACTGGAAAATTTTTAAGCGCACAATAAATTTTAATAACACAACATTGCATATTCTGCAAGATTAAAAAGATGATTTAAACGAAATAGTTTAAAATATTAAAGTTGAATGATCAATAAAGAGTTGTTTCGTTATAATAGTATTTAGTAAATGTAATTATCTCTCGTTAAAACATCCAAATTATTGAATTCAGCAGGACGACTGTTAGAGCAATATGTTTTATCATTTAGGACATTATTAAAGTTGTCAGCAGTAGTGTTAACATTGTTAATGTTGTTTAAATTATTGTTATTAATGTTTGAAATGCTGTTGTTAGGGTCCATTTTAATTCCACTGGTAGAGGATTCATAGCTGAGAGTCATCCTTGCAAAAATCATCCTTTCTTCATAATCATACTCGCACAAAATCTTGTTGCCGCAAAGGTAGTAGCGATCGCCGACACAAAACCTAAAGTTGTATTTATTTTTTCGATGTAAATTGCCAATTTTTTAAAGAAAAATCTTATTAAAATTATTTAAAATGGTGCGAAATAAAATTATAAAAGTTTGCTTTAAACGAATAAAATATTCAACTAAGTCAGTCATCAAGTAATAAACCAGAGATAAGATGATCGAACGACCGTTCAATCAATTGACCGACCAACCAAACTACCAAATAACCTACCTATGGCTGCACTGTTGACATGCGAAACATTCAAGATGGAAGACGTTATGTCTGGCTCTCATGACCATCTCAAAGGCTGGAATGTTTTTGTGACAGGCAGAACAATAACCAGTCGAACCAAATAATCTGTGTGGAAAAATTAATGTTTTTCTGAGTGTGTGTATCTCTGTGTCTGTGTGTGTGTCTGTTTGTGTTTGTGTGTGTCTGTGTGTGTGTGTGTCTGTGTGTATGTATGTATTTATGCGTATGTATGTATGTGTGTGTGTTGTTTGTGTGTAATGGTGTAATGTGAGTGGCTCTTTGTGTTTGTATTTGTTTCTTTGTTGGTTTGTATTTGTTGCGCGTTTATCCAAAAATTAAAAAATGAAGAACTAATCGAATTTTGCAATTACACCACAAATACAGAATTAATGCAAAGAGAAACTTCAAATAATCTCTCCTGCAGAGAATGAGATTTTCTTTAGTGAAAAGTGTGGAGCCAAGTTCGGCCAGCCTGCACTGACAACATGAACATTTCAGACAGTCCTCATGCCAATGCTGATCCAGAGCTTTCAACATGTACCTTTTTTAGATGATATTCACACTTTTTTACTTATTGTTTATGCAACTGACAACATGTCGATCCTTGCCTGGATGCATTAAAACTTTTACACCCTGTTGAAACTAGCATACATCCACAGAGCAAGACGTACAATTCCCGTACACGCAAGAACCGTGTGGTAAGCAGAAGCGCAAGGTGTCTGCTGGTATTGATGGCCCTTGCGTTTTGGGCATACAGTATTCGAACCAGGTCAATGAGCAACAACAACGACAAAAAATCTGGCACTTCTAACAGGCCAACCAATTAATTTTTATTGTAACAGATTTTGTAATTTGTTAATCCATTAACAAACATTCAGTACAGTGAAGCGTTGTGTTAGTGTGGTATAGAGTTAAGTTTCTCTTGGTATTCGAACCAGGTCACCACACAACTGTTTGTTGGATTGGTAAGGAACACTCATACACGCCATGAGCTATTTTAACATATATTTAAATATCATAGAAACTGTGAACAGGAAATGAGGATGGAAAATATTTTATTTATTACGATGTAAAGTAGAAATAAAATCTGCATGCCAACCTGTCTTTAATTTTTTCTTTGCAACCAGCGCATTCAAAAAATTTGTTGTTGTTGTTAATGTTGTTGTTAATGTTGTTGTTGTTGGTGGTGTTGTTGTTGTTTATGCTGCTTACACCAATGTTGTTGTCGTCGTCGTTGATGTTATTAATGTTGTTGTTAAAGTTGTCGTGATTGTTGTCCAATGTTGTAATTGTTGCTGATGTTGTTGTTGACGATACGGTTGTTATTGGGGATAGCAGCGTCGTTGTTATTTGTAACGATGTTTGTGGTAACGACAATTTGTTGTTTGGCTTGCTGCTGTTGCTGTTGTTTGGAGTCTTAAAAATGTTTTTGTTGTTGCCGTTGTTAACGTTGTTGTTGAAGTTGCTATTACTGTTTCGATTGCTAATCATTGTTGTTATAGGACTGTGTTGGTGACGATTTCGTTGTTGTTGTTGTCTAGAGATGATGTTATTGTTATTGTTGTTGTTGTTTATTGATGATGTTATTATTGTTGTTGTTGACCGCGATGATTCTGTTAACCTTGGAATTAACTTTATTTTTTTATTTCATCAATCTCTCAAACAAACCTGCACGCAAAGCACTCAATAAATCAACATAGCATATGTTTTTTTTTCATGTAAACACAAATAATTACCATTTAAAATTGAAATTTAAAAAAAAGTTAACTTTTTACACGCACACAAAACAGACTGATGTCCAAAATGCTTATGTAAATTAACATGTTGATGCAAATAAAAATTTTGCGAAGAATGTATGTATGTATAAACAGTCCCATTCGTGTACGGACGCACATATAGTACATAACTCAAAAATACACAAACATATACAAACAATTGAATTAATACACAAAAATATACATATGCAGGTGCATACAAATATATTAATACAAATAAATGCATGGACAAAAATTCACGTTTTCAAGTTTATTTTTAACTTTTCGGCGATCGTCTCAAAATGATGCTACGATTAGTTTATATATGACCCAGCAAGAAAACACACACATACATACAAACAAGCAAACAACCATACATACGTACATACATACACACACACACATACATATATATACATACATACATACATACATACATACATACATACATACATACATACATACATACATACATACATACATACATACATACATACATACATACATACACACATACACACACACACATACACACACACACATACATACATACATTTATATATGTATAGACTATATACAATTGTTTGACGCCTCTTCAATGACGTTTTCTTTACATGACTGACGCATTCGTGACACCGGCGTCATCTTGTTTATTTATTTTTTCGTTGTTTTTTTCTTGTCGTTTTTCTTTGGTTTATATTTTATCGCTGCTTATTATTTATTTTTATATTTTATTATTCTTATTATTTTCGGTTTTTGATATTTCGGTTGTTGCTGTTGTTATTTCTTTTACGATTGTGTCTTTATATTGCAATTGTTAACACACACACACACACACACGCACGCACGCACACATACACTCACAACACACACATAAACACGAAAACACATGCACACACATAAACACACACACACACACACACACGTGCATTCACATTGAAAGATTGAGTATTTGATAATAGAGAATAAAGAAAAAAAGAACAAGAAAGAAGAGGAAGAGAGAGGAGAGATAGAAATAGAGAGAGAGAGAATGAAATATAAAAAGAATGAAGAATATAAGTAAGAGAGAGAGAAGTAAGGTGTCATAACTCCATACAGCCACATTAACCTTTATGAACCTGTCTGCAACAAGACGATGAAAGGCTGCTGCAGCTGTTGTTGTTGCTGGTGGTGTTGCTGTGTGTGTGTGTGTGATGATGTTATTTGTTGTTGTTGTTGTTGTTTTTGAGATCGTTGTTGATGTTATTTTCGTTTATGCTGTTGAGGGTGTCATTTTTGATATCATGCTATTGTTTTTGCTCTGGTTATTTTTAATTAAATGCACATACAGTTAAATTTTTTGTAGCCATTTAAACCAGCATTCAACATGACCAAATATACATGCATTCTGTCATGTATACATAAATACATACACGAAATCAAATCAGAAACACACACACACACTTACACAGACACACACACACATACATACATATATACAAACATACAAACACACACATCTACAAACAAAAACAAACAAACAATGCCAACGTTATAGCAGCGTTATAAACAGCAATATTCTCATTAAAAAATTTACACCCCGACACACTTTGCTGACGTCATATGCATCACGTGATCGTGTATATATATATATATGTGTGTGTGTGTGTGATGTGTGTGCTGTGTGTGATGTGTGTGCGTGCGTGTGTGTTGGAAGGAGACCATATTTTATTTTATACTGTATTGTATGAATTCTGCCGAATTGTTGGCATTAATCAATTTAAAGTTTGTCTTTTCAATTTTCCATACTAGAATTTTCTGGTCATTGTTCAATATGTTGAAAATAGAATTAAACTGTTGTTATCCGAATTCATCATTCTTGATGTTTTAGTTGACGATTTTTTGGATGATGTTGCTAAACTTCTTGTTGATGGTGTTAGTGATTTAAGATTTCGTCAATGTAATTATTTTTCATCTTTTGATGTCTTTTTTTCTCAAAAGTTTTAAAGTTTTTTCCAAGTGTCATATTGCGATTTATTAAACTTCCCCTATTTAGGTTACTTTTGTTGTCGGCAATATTATTGTAATTTACGATGTTGACGCTGTTATTGATAAAATGCGCTTTTCAATTTTACTAGCAAGTTGTTCCTCCCTTGAGATTTTGAAATGGAACGGTCCATTTTTATATTCCACCCGTATAGAAAGCGCTATGGATATTTAGATTTTGAGATATTTGTATGATTTTATTGATTTATTGATATTGTTATTTGTTATTACTGCTAAGTAGTTTGCTTCAGTTTCTGATAAAGTTTGGCAACAACGTTACTCATTTGTATAGGTATGCATACATCTTCATAAAGCTTTGCCGTGTTCTGGATTTATTTATTATCAGTTTTTATTCTAAACATACAACACAACAGTGCAACACACACTAAAAAGTGCAGGCAGTCGTACAAACACGCAAACAGATAGACAAAGAAAAAGATAAACAGACGAATAAAAAAATAAAAATACATACACACGTACAGAAGACAGACAGACAAACGTACAGACAGACAAATAGACAGACAGACAGACATATAGAAAATAATGGACGGACGTACTCGTACAAGTCCCAGAGCGCTAACTATCCAATCAACTTTCACCTCGATAAGCGATGTTAAACGATCTCCCTCTTTTTTCATCTTCCTTCTTCTTTCTTTTTTTCTAATTTTTCTCTCTCACTTTGTCTCTTTCACTTTCTCTCTTTATGTCTATCTTTCTCCAGTTTTAGTTCTCTTTGTAACTTTTTAAAATTTCCAAACACTTCGTTTACTCATATGCTAATACATTTGAATATACTGCATGAATTTAAATCAATTACTTGCTGGTTTTTTCTTGTTTTTCATCTCTCTCTCTCTCTCTCTCTCTCTCTCTCTCTCTCTCTCTCTCTTCACCCATATCTCTTTCTCAAGAGAGCTATCACAACAGGGCTTCAATTTGAAGGAAGTAATTCAAGATGTAACAAATTGATGCCATTCTTATATTTATTATGCATGTGCGCGTTTTTCAGGACTGTTTGTATAAGTGGCGTATGTTCGCTAGTGTGAATTCTACTTAGCGAGGACCTTTGAAATTAGAAAGTTCAACAAAAATAAAGAGTGGCGAATGTACACACATAGAATCGATAGTGATAGAGCGGTTACAATTTTTAACAGTAATTAAAGTAATATTCATACAAACAATAGAGAAACACCATGTAATAGTAAAATGCTAGAGTAGTAACGGAAGAAATTTTTTCATTTTTTTTATTTATAAAATGTAATTAATTAATTGATTGAATAATTAATCTTGATAAGAATTTAGCAAGCCAAATAAATAGCTAATTACCTGTCTTTCTTATTTCGTAAAAATTTCATGTAAATTATTTAATTTATATTCATTATATTATTAATAATGTTATGTATGAAATAAAAAAAATATCAGCATCAAATTAGTTATTTACTGTTATTGATGCTATTGTTATTTGCCATCATTATATTTGTTATTAGTACTTACATGAGTTGTGCTCGTTGTGTATTTGCCTATAAAGCTACCCTAGCGCGTTCAACAATGCTTCTTATAAGCTTTACAATATTTCACTGTAAGATTACATTGTAACAAAGTATTGTAAGACTATGCTAATGAATGTTTAAGCTTCTGCGCGCTAAATTTATATTTAGAACGCTGGGAATCGGTAAATTTGTCAACTTTACGCACAAAATTGTGATGATGTGTAAAATGGAGTGAGATCATATTAATTTGTGGTTATGCTATGCGAAGGAATGGACGGCTACTTTCAAAAAAATTTATCTAATATTTAACTAACTAACTAATTAATTAATTAATTTGTTTAACTGAATTTTATGTTTTAAACTTTGAAATTGAATTAGGATGTTTTGAATTGGTTATATAATAAGCAGGTTACAGTTAATTAAACTTAACAAAATATCGTTTTGAATAATTATAAAAAATTTTATTTTTTTAATTTTTAATTCTGTAAATCAATCTCTGTCAAACGCAGAGAATATTGGATTACCTAATTTAAAAACTTGTGGAAATCATTAAATAGTTTTTCTAAAACGGAATCGAATCGAACAAACTTCCGTTACGTGGACAATGAGCAAATTAAATTTGAAAGACCTCATCACCACCAAAAAAATTCCCAACAAAATACTGAACCGACCTCTTCCTAGCCCGCCAGACCCTGCATCTCCCAGTCCAAAACAGTTACCCAAGACAGTCAGGAACGCAACTAAATCTAAGAACGACTTTTCGAACTTCAACAAGACGGAGCCAAGGTTTTCCGATTCGACGATAACCAATATAGAGCAGAGTGAAAAATTTCAGTTGCGAAATAAGAATTCTAGATTAGTTCGGTCGGTGTTTAACATATCAGAAACTATCGATGAAAACGAGGATAGCGATGGATACGTCAAATCCAGCTGGCAACTTTTACAGACCAGTAAATCAAACGAAGTTGATGATTCCATATATCCCAATGAAAGGGACTTCAAAGTAAATTTACTAAATAATTCTTCCAATAATAATGTGAACGTTCAAAATAATTCTAACAAAAACGAACAAAATTGTAATAAAACACAAAATGTAAGGTCAACCTCTTCACCTAGTTTTCTGCCAAGTCAGCCTCCCAAACTTAATACAAAGCATTTACCTGACGATAAATGCTTGAACCGATTTAACAACAAACCAATTTCACCAAAATCACCGATAAAAATTGACCAAAATGTTTTTGAAAGCAAAAACTGTCTTGTACCTGGGAATGATTTAATGGATTTCAAGCGTAATTTAAAACCAGCATTACCGATACCTCAAAAAAAAGAAGGCAACCATCCAGTCAAACCTCCAAATCATATAAAAAACTTTTTCAATAATAAAAACTTACATTTGGACGAATCTAATGAAAAAACTAATAAGAACGACATCACTCAAAAACATTCAAGTCACAACAATTTGCACAAACTTATTCAAACGCCAATAAATATGTCGCCAGATGGGTGTTCTGGTGAAGAAAAAAGATACATAGATATGAAATCAAACGTAAAAAACAGCCGGCCGGCTCCACCAATCCCATTCAAAAGCAATCAAGACCGGCCAAGAAGTCAAATTCCAATCCAATCGAAACCAGTATCACGCGTGAACCCGATTAAAAATGTACAGCAGAATGAAGAGCGGAACGTGGTGGTCATCATCGACAGCGGCTGGGCTTGCGACCTGTGCAAAGGAATTAACAACAGTGGCGACTACGAATGTCCCTCGTGCTTGGCTGCGAAGCCAGAAAGTTGGAAGTGCAAAAAATGCAGAGGAATCCTGTCGACTAGAAAAGATGAATGCCTCAATTGCAAAATATTTCGCTGTTTGAATTGCCAAGAACAGAACTTCTTGCCCGCCAAGTTCTGCGGAATGTGCGGTCATAGAAAGCAATCGTAATTGTTTATTTGCTTTTTTCCTTCAAACAAGGTTATTGATACTCATTTGCAGCAATTAGTTGCCAAAGAAATAAACTGTATGCATTGTACATTAATCAAACGATAACCTTAAAAGCAATATTTTTTCCAACCTGTGTATATTTCTGTAGATGAGATCATAATTACTCAACCCGTGGTTATCGTGACAAGATTCCTGAGTAAGCATCGGCGTGTAGAGAGCGACATTCGGTGGTTTGCTGCATACATTTAAACCGCGCATAATATAGCAATAATTTCTTTGAATAGACTAATTAATTGATAAAAACTCACGACAGTTCCTGCGTAGTGAGTTAGTGAGCATCGACGTTATTATAAACACGAACATGAATGTACATACACATTTACCCATGTGAATGATTCCTCCGTTATTTGTGACTTGCAAGCGTTTCTAGAAAATTTATTCATTTATATTTGCCATTGATTTGTTCAATGCAGTCAATAATAATAGTATATCTTACATCAGTGGTTAGTTGTAATTCTATTCACAAACATTCAGGTAAACTTTATTTGTCTCTTCGAAACATTTCTTTTTAACATTAGATAAATTTAACATATGAAGAAAGATGAAATAAAAAAAAAACAATTTTTCACTATTAGATTCTCGACTAACTTCAAACAAAATAACAACTTCGGTGAATGTTGCTGTCAACAACAATGACATCAAACAATATTATCATTATTATAACGGTAACAACAACTCTATACGTTTTCCGTACAAATCACAAACATCAATTAAGCAGTATAACTAACATAATAGTCTTTTAGACTTAGTTTATCTTATTAATTATATAAAAATATGAACATACAGCACCCAGTTAGAAAGCCAAATCATATGTACTTACGTACGTACGTACACACACGTATATATGTAATACATGTTTACCAAGATTTTTTCAAGCCATTTTTAAACACCTCTGAAACTATATACAAGTGGAAAAAGTGAAAATGCGTTATTGTTTTTCTTGTGCAGCAGACAATATGATGGTTAAAAGAGAACTTACTAAGAAGATGTGACACGTGAAAATGTTACAAAAATATTGCTAATAAGATATTATCCACACGCACACACACACACACACACACACACTTCACATGAATGAAACCAGCACACTCCCACTCACTGACTATACACACAGACACAAACAGACATACACAATTGTAATGAATGCTACTGTTAATCAACAATATCACTGTAAAAAAACAAAATGTAAAAATTATTATACTAAAAAAAAGAACATTTGTACAAGACATCAATATTATACACAAAAGCAATATTTTCAAATGAATAAATGAAGAGAAAAAATTAAGAAACGAATAAAAAAATGAATAAACGAACGAAACGAATGAACAGATGAATAAAGTAATTAAAAACACAATGGAGTGAATGAATGATGTCCGTAACTTTTTCAGTACCTTCTCGGCGGTGGAAAATAGCTGGAAATGAAATATGACATAAATTATTAAAAAAAAAATAATTTACCAAACTACCCCATTCATTCAAACAACCATCCACTCAATTTATTCACAAGCCATTAAACCAACTTTTTTCATTAGCTAAACAACCAACTAACCAGCCAACCAACCAATCCACTAACCAGCCAATAAACCAACCAATCAACCAACCTAGCATTAGGAAGAACAACTTTGCTGGCAGCCATAGTAGAAGCATGAGCGTGAGTCAACCTCTCCATCCTCTCTCCGTAGTAATAAGTTTTGGCATACTCATCAAAGGCCATCGGATCTCGAAAATAAAGTTCTAACAGATCTTTAACCTGTTTTTATAAAGTAAAAATATTACTAATATTTATATTTAATTAGAGATAATATTATTTTATCCTCATTAATACAATGACACGTTAATATATCACCAAAAAAATATTACCAAAATTACTATTTACGTTGTTCTATTGCTGTGAGACTGTGCAATGTATACAAGAACACAAGCAAACAAACATCACCACCAACAACAGCACCAACAACAACAACATAGCAACACCACCATCCACACTGAACCTGCTCTGTGGCATATTCCTCTCTTTGTTGACCATTAGACTGGCCGAGATGAGATGTTGCCAGATAATCAGACGTCGACTGGTAGGAAAGTGAAGTGGGATATGGTTCAGATTGGTGACTTCTTCCTTGGCTTCCAAATGACCTAAATGAATATTAATTAAAGACAAAATTAGTTAGTTGATTAGTGTAATGAATTATACACTACTTTTTTAAAATATCTCTTACTTTGATAATTTCTTCAATTTGTTTAATAAAACAATGTTTTAAGAATTTTACATTTAAAAATTCTACATTTGCAAGTTATGTACAAACATATGCACATCACATACACATAAAAATACACATTATACAAACACACAAACAAACAAATACACAAACATACAAATGTATATGTTCACAATACACACTCACAACCTCGAATTAAAATTCATTCTTCTACCTTGCGGTCTATTTCTAGATAACTGTAGAATATTAAATAAAATATTTGATTGAATAAAAACAACAACAGCAACAACAACAACAATAATAATACTCATAAAAATGAAAATCATCATCATCGTCGTCGTCATCATCATCATAACCTGTACGTGTATGTTGGAGCCCTTTAGATTGTAGCCATCCAATGCTTTTATGGCACTATCAGCCTCATCTGTTGAGTCCATGTGCTGGGGAAGGAGTTCAGTTGTACAATTTTTTTATATCATAAAAAAAAAATTCAATAGAGTCAATTATTGAAAATAATTATATATATATTCTTACAAATTATATAATTCATAATAGCCCGTTAAAAATTAGATTAAATATAACATAAGATTAATAAAATTTAATACTTTAATATTAACATAAGTAATAAAATGGGAGTGATGTGAATGAAAATCTTAACCTACATAGTTCCACATGCTCACTTCACAAGACTCAAAAATATGGAAAATCCCAAATCAGCTAATTTAGCTGTTGTGTGTATGCATAATGTGACATAAGGTGTGTATATATTATGTGTGTATACACAAAGTGGCATCAACAGAGGATCTAGTTATATGTGTGCTTAACTTCAAATTTTGAAAAGCCAGGCAAGACTGAAGTTTGTATTTGAAACAAACTCACTCAGATTAGTATATGACTCAAATGTTTCTCTCTCACAAGCTGGATCAGTGTAGCATAATGTAATAATAAAACACTTGTATGTGTATGATAGCAGTAGAGCTGTTTTATTAGTAAATATTTGCCAATAAAGTTAACAATAGAACTAAATTAACTCAACCATTAGTTTGTATTGTTAAAATAACAATTGCCTAAATTGTTTTTAGTAAATAAAATGAAAAATAACTGACAACAAAGGCAAAATTTGAGATAACATCGCACTCAGTGACTTTTCCATATTTTTCAAATAAACTTCTCAGATCATCCCTCCTGGTGCCATCAGCTAATCGACCCACAAATAATTTAGCCGGCATCTGTTGGTGTTTTTGTGAGAAAATATTTTTTTGTTTGGATTCAATGTTCTAATTTGGATAATAATAATTCAACATCAACACAAGAGTTGCAAGTGTCTAGAAATCACTAACAATTAATCAGATCTGATGTGCAGCAAGACAAATTCCAAGTGTATGTTGTAATCATATAAGACAGGTTCAGTCCTAAGAGCAAAGCTGTTATATTTAATTAAAATTTTTATAACATTCACGAAAAGCACAAATACAAGACCTGGCTTGATTTTTCAAAATCATGTGATTACAGTCATAATTTCATACTAAGTTAATTCAATTATATCTGCTAGTCAGTAAGTAGATTTTTGTTACAGAAAAAGTTACAGCATGCAAGGCAATGATAAAAAAAAAGACAACGAAAAATAATTAACAGAGAAATTATTGATAAAATCAAAAATGTATGATGAGGGATTAACAAACATAATAAGTGATCATAAACAACAGTTAACAACACTAACAGTTATCATCAGATCAGGTTGCTATCTATCTGATCTCATGCTAAAAGCTAACTAACAACACTGTTAGTTAGCTTAGTTAGGGACTAAGCTTAGCTGAAGTTTAGTTAGTTAGTTAGATATATTACTCTACTTAACTAAACTAAAGACTAAACCAAACTATTGAGATTTGACTTTTGAGAAGAATGAGGCCGGGCAATAAAACCAATAAATAAAAAAGTTGAACGATTTAATCAACTTGTCCCGCAAGTTTTTACCAGCTTTTTTAGCAATAACGAACAGCAATCAAGTTTATTTACAACTTCATCATAGTTTAGTTTAGTTTACGCAGCAGACAATGCAATGGCTCACACGTTGCATAGTTAAGAACTTGAAAGAAAATATTAAATAAAAACATGATGAGAAAGTTTTTCTATAACATAAACTTGTTTCGAGATGGAAAGTCATGCTGTCCACTACTAAACGCAATCAAACCACAAACGCAGACCCAACCGACTAACTGGTCCCTTTTATATTCGCAAAAACCTTTTTCACACTCCGCGCCCGACAAGAAGGCAGTAGTGGAAGTTAGCAAGTAAATGAAAAGTAAACTACCATAATAAATTAAAAATTAATGACATGGTCTTGGTATTATAAGTAAAGGCTTGGGTCTTGTCGTCATATATATAAAATAAAAAGTAGTATATTTAGAATATGTAGTTTCCATCTACTGTCAATATACATGTAAGGCTTAATCGATATATAGAAATCAATTTTATACATGTTGTTACTGATAAAAGTAATAAAAAATATATATTTTTTATTTCAAAGTATATATATTTTATAATATGTACAATGATATATTATAAAATATCATATTTTGATGGTACTTTTAGTAAAGTTAGTTATAATAAAATAAATAATATAGACTTGTTTTGGTCCAAAGTAACAACGCCAATTGTGACGTACCATCGGCCTGTTTATTTATTTTGAGGTGATTGTTTACTAAATAAAAGTTAAATTGCGAAATCTTTCAAAATAAGATGAATAAAACGTAAATAAAATACACGTTAACAATTCTTAATTACATTATTAAATAAATTGTTTTATTATTAGTTTGTAGAAGTGGCTGGCAAGTGATTTGTGAAAAACAACCACTAAAACTAAAAGTTATAAAAGTAGAAGTACTGAAGTAATAATTTACTAATTTACTTACTTTAATAATAATAATTTATTTTTTTTTATTTGTGAAAACAACCACTAAGTTATATAAGTAGAAGTAATGAAGTAAGAATTTACTTTAATAATAATTTTATTTTATTTTTTTTAAGAACTCACTAATCTAATTTTGATAAATTTAATTAAATTTTACATTTAGTTACTTTTTTAAATTTAAAATTAACTTACAATTACGAATTAGAATTATTATGTTAATATAATTTTTATGGTGAAAGATGAGTTCATCCACGAGATCGAATCTTAACAACAACCCGATGCCAACTACATCATCATACCCGAATGAGGACCCCACCACCTCCTCCTCATCGTCTTCATCCTCCTCACAACGACCGTCTGCTGGTCCATCAACTTCTTCAGGCAGCAACAACAGCAGCCAAGATAACAACAGCAGCAACACTAGTGGAGCCTTTGAATGCAATATTTGCCTGGACACTGCCAGAGATGCTGTGGTCAGTATGTGTGGACATCTGTTCTGGTCAGTTTGATTTGATGATAATTTTACTATTTATTGTTATGTTGGGTCGTTATGTTCTAACTATACGTATGACTCAATACTACTGTAATTTTAAAAACATTTGCATCATATTCATACTATTTCAATAATTTTTCATCAGTTCATTCCATTGCAGTCAATGTTTAGCTAATTAACTACCACACATTACAGCGTCCATGTTTAAATCTTAATTAGTGCTTTTTAGGTACTTTAAATCAGTAATTTGAAAATAAATCTAAAAATTAATTCTAGATTTTTAGTTTGCTTTTGAATAATAATAATTATTATTATTATAAAAATAATAATAAATCAGTAATATAACAGAAAAACATATTTATAGCTGGCCTTGTTTGCACCAGTGGTTAGAGACGAGGCCTTCGAGAAAAACATGCCCTGTATGCAAGGCAGGCATCAGTAAGAGCAAGGTTATCCCTCTCTATGGTAGGGGTAATACAAACCATCAAGACCCCAGGTTGGTTGGCTGACTGGCTGGTTGGCTGGCTGGTTGGTTAGTTGTTTGTTTAGTCGGTTGGTTGATTGATTAGTTGGACTTTTAAAATAAATATATTTAAACTGTTAACTTATTTTTATTCAGAGATAAAGTACCACCAAGACCTCAAGGACAGAGATCAGAGCCTGAAAACACCAATGTAATTTAGCGTATTTATTTACCATAGTCACCATTGTAATTTACCATCATCACTGTTGTAAATCACCATCATCGTCATTAGAAACCACCATCATCTTCATCATTGTTACACAATCATCAACTCTTGAATTTTTAATTATTATTCAATATTTTGTATAAATATTTAAATGCAACAGAGTTTTCCAGGTTTCGGGTTCGGGGAGGGTGCCGGATTCCAGATGTCGTTTGGCATCGGGGCATTTCCATTTGGATTTTTCGCCTCAACGTTCAATCAGGGAGACGGAAGAAATCAGAATGGTAAGTAAATAAATTGAAATGCACAAACGTTCATAAATATACTGATATTTTTCAATTTTTTTGACCCTGCGATATATTTTTTTCTTCCTTTCAGGGATAAATGCCCCCCACCCTGATGAAAGATTCTTAAACAGAGTTTTCCTAATCATCGCTCTGTTGTTTCTCTTCTGGCTGATGATGGCTTAGATTGTCAAGTGTGAAGATGGTGAAGTTGGTGGTGATGATGGTGAAGATGAGGCTTGCGATGACGCTGAGGAGGATGGTGATGATGCTTTGAAGATGATAACGATAGTGAGAGCATGTGATTGATTCCTGGTCGATTTATCACTATGCAGTTGATTGGTTGATTGATTGAGTGATTGATTGAATGTATTTATTACAAATTACATCGAGTTGTCATCTCATTAATTTGCATTTTTTATGGGATTTATTGTTCACTAAAGCCTCAAATGATTAAAATCCTAATCGTTGTTGTCGTCATCATCTTCACAACAAAAAAATAACAACAACAACATAGATAAATAAACACGATGATAATAAAGGTATAATTATTTAATGTTAATTATGTTGCTACTATTATTATGTAAAAATTTTTTTTTGTCGCTTCACTGTACACACTATTTATCATAATATCAGTGGTGACGGTGATGATTTCAATGATGATTACAGAAGACTGATGATGATGATTGATGGTGATGATGATAGTTGGTGATGATGATGAATAGTGAAACAATTAACTGGTCAAGGATGTACAAATAAATTTGCATTATTATGTTTTCAAATCATATATCAGAAGAAATATATCGTAACCGTCTGTCTGTCGGTTGATTGATTGAATGGATGAATGATTGAATGAATGTTTAAATGAATGGTTGAATGATTGATCACATGATTGAAATATTCATCGATTGACGAGTCAAAATTTCATTTCATCAACCTAATTGTTTATATATTGACCATTTTATCAAATTGTCAGTTTATTCACAATTTAATTGGTCGGTTGATTTATTTATTAAATTTCAATCAGCTAGTTTAAATGCTTCTATGGCTGATTGATTAATTGAATGAATAAAATCTAAACTGATTGATTGGCTCATTGAAATGATAATTGATGAAACGAAACTAATCCCTCAATCAATAAAATCCAACAAATGACTGATTCATCACTATATCCGTATTTTCTTCAGTCATTTCATTCTATTAACCCATAATTTTGGTTTTACTGGTTGGTTTCAGATTGTCATACTACACACCAACACAATCACATACATTTGCATCTTCATGTATACATGGATATATATTATGTATATAAATATATATATATAATAATAATTATTTGTTTATAATATAACAATAATTACGGACTTATTTACTAATTTTGAATAAAGTCTTGGAATAATTTTACGCTTTTGGACCCTCACACACACGCAAATACACACACGCAACATTCGCACAAATATATACATACTGATATATACATACACACATATACATACACACACACAAAAATAAATATTCATTTATTAATTGATTAATTTATTTATAATTTTATATGTGTAATCTATTTTTGTTATCACACTTTAGAAAAGTATGCCACTAAACACTTATTTGGTTTCATTTTGATCTGATCATACTCTGGATATATATGGATCATACACTAAAACAGCAACCGCAATAGTTACGTTAATTATAATTGGTTAATTATAATTAAAATAATTATAACAATAATATGGTTATAATTATTTTCATTTATAATTATTTTCAGTTTTTAAATAAAAACAACTCTATGTGCTAAACTCAAACTGTGCTCACATTTTCATTACTTTACATTATGTCTACTTTTCGTTGTCCGTTACGTACCTTATTTGCTGTTGTTCATCCGGATATATATTAATCATAAAAAACGTCATCATTATCTTTCTCTCTCTCTCTCTCTATATATAAATATATATATATATATATGTATGTATATATATATAATACACACATCAACTTTAGATAAACTAACAGGCGAAATGGTCTTTTTACTTCATATTCATTTAAGAAGTGTTAAGAGATGTTGAAAGTTCAATTTTCGTTACAGTCCAGTTCTTGGGATACTACGATGTTACAAATCCAAACATTCCCTCCACATATCGACAAACAACTTTTTTCAATATTTTCTTACAGTTAATTCATAATCATAAACCATACGCTAGTGGATAGAATAGGGGCCACCCAAAGAAATATTCACTCCGGCCATATTTTAGCATTGGATCTCTGTCTGCCCTGCTAGGCAAGACATTAACGGTGGATCTTAGGCCACACGTTTGAGTATATCAAAAGTTTCCACCAGACGGTATCTATTTATCTGTACCTTCCATCTTGATTGATGTGCGTCGTTTCTTGTAGGCGCTAAAGAATAAGATATCACATAATATCAATCATTATCTTGTCATTATCATCTTTTTAATTATCACTCGTTATCAAATGACGCAAGCAGGCAGTTAAATAAATATTTTTTTTATTATCTACATCAGTACCAAATATAACTTTAGGCTATATTTCTTGAAGAGATATAATAGGTTTAACCAAACGAAACCAACGTGGGTGAAAAAATATTTAAATTTTTCAGATAAAATCAATTCGAAAAACTAATGGAAAAAATTATTTATAAAAGATAATATAATAATTATTATTATTATTAAATCATAATTATCTGAAAAAAGTCTTGACGTGAGCGAGCAGTGGCCACAAGAAAACAGATCCAAGATGGGTGCAGTAGATTTCTTATTAAAATCCATATTAAAGCTATAATTCACATTAAACGCTATAATTAACATTATATATTATTATCATTCATATAAACGTTGTTTATAAAAAAAAATTAATGTTTAATTTATGTACAAATTATAAATGAATTGATGTCATGACAACGTGTTGGAAAATTGTGATCATAATTTTAAAATTAAAACCATAAATTTCGTAAATTGTAAATATAATAATATTAAATCGCACTAGAAATATGTGCCGTGCAGAAATAGGTAACAATAGTTTAATCCCAAAATTAATAATAATAAATATATATACACAATTGCTACTGTTGTTGAATCCCACATACTGTCAATTTTTATATATACTTTATATGTACTACACATTCCTGTTTGAAATCAGTTATAAATTAAACAGGAATCAAGCTCTTCCACCAAGCTGTACGTTTCATACCCATACATGATGGGTTATTTACAATAGGTTTATCTATTCGTTTATTCACACATACACAGTGCAGATGCACTAAATGGCGGTTCAAATGAAGTACTAGTGCACTCTGAATGAGAGTGTGAGAATTTGATTAACGGCATACCTCCAGACACTTCGTATGGAGTGCAGAAAGTGCAGGGAGAAGGCACAAGGCTTCAGTCTTGATATATACCCACCTAGATACTTGCAGCAATCAGTATTGAGCATTTCAGTTAAGGAGAATTTTTTACCACAATGAATCATTCAATTTCTAGTAATTTATATGTAATGAATTACTGTTTTAGACAAGCTTATTGTATTAAAAACGTGCTAGTGAAGGAATTATTACAAGATATTTTACGAATTTTGCACTAACTCCAAAACTCTGACGAAAGGAGTTAAGTAAAAGGAATCCAATAAAAAAAAGGATATAACAAGGTGGAAGGTGGCTTTCCATCATTGATGTATAGAACATATGAATAACCATCGTACAATTTTCCTTTGATTGAGTAATAATATGGAAGAGATGCATGGATGGTGAAATTTCTTTTTTCATAAAATCGTATTGCAATGGAGTTTGTCGTCAAAACGTGCAGGTAGACAACTTTACAGTCATTCAAATCCTCAGAGGTCAAATATGAGAGAAGGTTGTCTAACAAGAGGGAAGCTGTTTTTGTGTGTTTGGTTTGTTAACATAACATGTTTCAGTTAGTGAGTGCAATTGTGATGTTGTGTTTGTATGTGCTGTGCCTTTTGGCTTGTTTTTATCACATAATGTGATATACTAAACACTGATGAGTTAGAACTTAACAAGACATTTTATGTTACAAATGCCCAACCTATGCCAAGTCTGCGATATTGTTTGACTACCCCAAGACTCAATATATATGCCACTAAAGTGTTGCTTGGGTAGTATGCTGCCAAAATATCAGAATCCTTTAAAACAAAATAACAAATAAAATTTGTTATTTAAGAGATTAATAATTTAAAATTTAGTGCTAATATTTTTTTACTTCTCTATTGCATCTGATCTTTGGCTTAACTTCTGAAACAATCATTCCTATGATCTTTAAATTAATTGTAGCTGCCAGCGAATAGAATCTAGGATTAGTTAGTATGTCTGTGTACCAGCTTTCTGGATATCTATAAATAAAATCCAGTTAAATAATCAACTAACCTGTCAACCTCTTACTATTATTTAAACAACGATAATTACTATCAGATACGATTAAATTATAGTTTTAATATTATACAAAGAAATATTGTAGTCATGTTTCGTGAGTAGTGAAATAATATAATTATAACACTTTGACTTTGGCTAACTACTAAAGAAACATTTGTCAAATTTCTAATTATGATAAGTATGTTTTATAAGAATTATTTTAATATTTATACTTACAAATTTCAAAATAGAGTAAAAATTATAATAAAACGTCATAAATGAATAATAAAATATTAAAATTTAATATTAATTTAATAATTAAATATATATAATAAAATACACACTGTATTGGAAACCAATCTGCACACAACTGCTTGACTTCCAACAAATCATCTGGACATAGATACCTAAGTTGGATTTGCTGTTGTACGTTGAAACATTCGGCCATCTTGTTGCTGACGTTACTTTCGTACATTTGCAACTGAGAACAGAAGAACCAATCGTTCCACTACTAATTCAATTTCGTGTTGGTTAGGAATAGGGATCGTAATTTTCATTTAATTTTATTTCATTGGTTATATTTTTAAAATTTTGCATCAGTGGTGCATTTAAATTTTGGAAAAACAAACATCGCAAAAATCACTCCTTGCGTTACAATCAAACTTTAAATTTAATGAATTTAATGAAAATTAGAAAATATTTACGTGTTTACTTTTAGTTTATTTTAAATATTTTTTGATTAGACCCTGGAAATTAAAGAATAGAATTAATATTTCACTTTATTTTGGTTTTGGTAATATGCCTTTTTCACAATACAGAATGAGATTAGCATCAAAGCATTAATTAGAGCACATTAAGAACCAATTATATAAAATAAAATCATATATATAGAATAAAACTATGTACTAATATGTACGGTTAAAGATCCAGAGCATATGGTCGGTAACCATACCAACCATATGTAACTGTAATACAGTTATTCTATGCAATTCATTCAACCATAAACGTCAAGTTACCTCTACTGATATTGAATTTATACCAAAATTTGGTTGTTATAATATACCAAATAAGTAAATGTCTCGTTGTTGTATAACTTCAGTGGATCCGACACCAACACACATGAGGCATAGAGAACCTCCTCTCTATCAAATGCCTCACCTGTGGTTAGTTTAGTAGTGAGTTATCACTCAATTATTAATTAATTAATTAATTAATCAGCTTTTTATTTAATTAAGCAATTAATTTAACTAAGATAACGTATTTATCCGTATATTTTTGATATGTTTGGTACGGAAGATCATTTATTTATTATCATATCAAGGCAGCCAAACTTGGATATGATGAACCCAATGGTGAACAGTCACGCTGACTTTAAACTGGTCAGATATCATTTTATAATAATTAATTTTTTCTTTTAAAATTTCAACCATGCGAATGCACATTTCATGTTATAGATAGATCGGTTGCTTATTTCTCATTAAATAGTTTTTTTTATCTTCATTAACAACGCTTTAGAATAGTTTTTTCCATCTTTTCTGTACATTTTTTCTTTTTTAATTCTTAGCAGTACGAACAATAGCACACACAGCAATGGTTATACGCATGGATGAACGCATCAAACACATTGCGTGTTACACACACGGACACACACACACATTGCGCATTATAAGCATCCTAACCTACTAGTCCATGCAGACTGGCACTTTTCACCATTTCATCATCTTGCCAAAAAAAAAAACAAAAACAAAATGATTAAAACAGCATAGTTCGTTACTACATTTTGTATAACAAGGCGAAGTTTTAAAAAAAAATTTCCCTTATTTTCATTGACGATTTTTGAAAAATTATAAGTTCCTTTCAGGAAAAATGAAATAATTCCAAATGGTAATTAATAATTACAGTATAATAATGTAAATAACAAAAATAGGGTGGATTAGCGAAGTGGAGCGGAGATTACCCCTTCATGCATTCGAGAAGCAAGCAGGCCACTGAGCCTGATTGGTTCACGAGGAGGGTGACCAATATCGTGGACAACAACAGGCAGTGGTCACTTTGGCACAGAGAAGGTTAGTAAGTTAGTTGGTTGGCTGGTTGGTTGGTTTGTTTGGTTGGTTGGTTGGTTGGTTGGTTGGTTGGTTGGTTGGTTGGTTGGTTGGTTAGCTGGTTGGTTGGTTAGATAGTTAGTTAGTAGGAAAGATTGTTTTTAAAATTTAGTGTTTTTCATTTAGATAGATTGTGTTTTTAGTTGCAAACACGCACACGCACACACACTCCATAAAAACTTCCAGGAATCTCCAAGCCAACTCAGAGAAGAATAATCTCGCAAGCAGACTACATGGGAACTGACCCTGATCGAAGAATGGTCTTAGCGGAAGTGACGTCAACATGGAAAAGTGGTTACAGGGCTGTCCCACACAATTTAGAGGGACAAGTATCGGTCCCTAAATGGGGCATCTACCATCCCGGTAATTATGAAAATCCCACGAGAACAACATCGCTGCGATCTCTCGGAAGTTTATTCAAGACCGGATAAAATAATTAAACAGTGATAAAAATTATTATTTTATTATTTCTAATAATTTTATTATTGCCACTGTTAATTAAAGAAATATCAATATTAATTTGTGATATACTACTGGATACAAATTGTTAAATGAGAAAACAACGTATGTGTATTTCTCTCACCATGTATATTCTTTTTGACAAAATATTTAAATGAAGCTTATTTTGTTAGAAAGCACGTTTACATGAACTAACATAAATTCACATAATTTAGTATTAGTAGTAGTGGTTGTAATATACCAATAAATCTATCGTATGGAGACGCTAAATAAACATTTTATGGGTCTTCACAATGACGTAAATTAAATCATTATTAGTTTTCTCTTTTCTTATTAACGGATAGATTTTCTTTTCACTTTCTGTTGATAATGTCGATTTTTTTTCAAACAAAAGAAGTTTCCATAATTGTTATTATTACTGTTATCTTCTTTTAACACTGCTGCTCGTGCCCCTTTCTTTTCTCATATATCTCCATATCTTGTTCTCTTGCACTGGCTACCTATCAAATATAGAATAATTTTTGAAATTTGTATTTGCTTTTTCTGGCCCTTTTCTCTGGAACTCTCTAGCCCCTTCTCTGACTAATTCTCTCTCACTTACGAAGTTAAGAGCGGATCTCAATATTCATCTGTTTGCAAAATTCATTGAAGAGCTCTGTTGAACATTGCGGAAATTGAGCTTTATAAACTAATTGATTGATTGATTGATTGAATGATTGATTGATTGAATCTTAATTTTATGATTAATAATAGCCCGTTCTCAATAATCTCTGACTCTATCAATAAGCCATCCAATGACTCGGGTGGTAAAAATATAAACGAAAGCTCACGACCGTGTAATGAATGAATGCTCTGCTCATATATATATATATATATATATATATATATATATATATATTAATATATATGTGTGTGTGCGTGTTTGTTTGTGCTTGTGTTCGTATACGTATAACGTATATATAATTGATAAACTTTACGCTGGCAACACTTCTATTGTTAAGCTAGGTAGGTAGTTGAGGAATTCAATATTTGAGAGAATATTGTTGAGACAATATCATTGTTCGATTCTTACATATACTCATGCACACACACATACACACGCTTACACACACATGCAAACACACACACACTCATATTTTTTATATTTGTGCATATATATATATATAAATGCATTGTACAGTTGGGTGATATGCTTGTCGTAGATGACTAAGTCAGAAATCGTCGTGATGTTTCATAGCATGAATTTAACATATATGTAGCCATAATTATTCGAATTTAATTTTATTTTCGATAAGTTATTGCAATCTGCTCCGCTTCAGATCTTCAAAAGATTGAATTAATAAGATTTTTAACCGTTGAATTGCTTTCACGTTGGTAAATTTTTTTGGGCGAGTTGTAAATTAAAAAATCCATCGAATTGATAGCAACAGCAGATTCACGTAAGATATCTCAATGAACTACTACATAGCTGATCATGCTCAACACTCTGTAAAGTAAAACTGAATAATTGTTATTTCTGGAAATTAAACCATGATCACTCTCAATTCTCTTTATTCTGTGAGTTTTCTAACTTGTTGCACTTTGTTTAAAATGCTTAAATATTGCTGTCACCTACCAATATCAATTTAAACAAAATTGTTAATATCTGAAAAAATTACAGAATATAAAAAAAGATTATTTATATTATTTTTCAGGTTTTCTTGATCTGCTCAGGTAAATCTCTAAAAATGTTCAATTTCCTTTATTATTTTCAAATAATTTTAAAATGTAACAGTAAAACAGACATTAAAACAAAAAAATAAAAACTTTTTACTTTATAGTTGCCATACTAGGGATAAATTCTGAAGGAAGGTACCTACAGGCACCGTCACGTCAAAAACGAGAAGAGTATGTAATCGTCGTCATCACACCAACGCCATATGAATTAGCACAACAAAATGCTGCGACAGATACACCAACTCCATTTGGCTACAGTCCTTTTGATTCTGGCATAACAGTTTTCTCTGTGAACAATCCAACCCCAACTTTAGCGTTTTCAAACCATCCAATCGCTCAATCGACCACTTTACCTCCAGTTTCAGAACCGCCCATAAATTACCAAATTATCTACCAAACCTTCTACAGCGAGGTCCTCAAAGTTTGGACATCCCTGGCTCCCAGCGAGAATTTGAAGCACACCATAGGAGAACAATTATGCTCATTCTTTGACATATCCCCTTTCTTGATCACCAACATCACCCTCCTGAGCAATGCTGAAGGTATGCAGATATTTTAGAGAATAAAACAATTTTCTAGAGTATTTCAAAAGTTTTGTTTTAAAATAATATTATGAAGCAATAATTTTGTACGATATTTCATTAACATTCGGTAATAAAATTCAATTTTCTCGATAGGTAGAGCAGTGGTGAAGTTCCAGGTGTTGGCGAATGTTATCGTGTCGAACGTGAAAGCCAGCAACTATTTCTACAACGTACGAAAGAACAACCCCCAGGAACAGTTCACACTGAAACTGCAGGATGGCCAGGAAACTGTATATATAAAGCAGATTCTCAAGTTCTGCAATTGGACAGGTGTGTGGGTGTGTGCGTGTGCGAGGTGCGTGTGTGTGCGAGGTGCGTGTGTGTGTGGTGTGTGTGTATTATCGAAGTGTTTGTTCGTTTCTGTGATATTAATGTGTTGGTTTGTCTACCTGATCATTTATGTTTCTAAAAAATTTAATAGTTCTATCTAATCTTCTCTAATTATAAAAAACACCTCACACACACACACACACACACACACACACACACACACACACACACACACACACGATTATCTACAAATACACAGACAACGGCTTCTGCGGTGGCAACATAATATGTCCACTCGGCTACACGTGCACGGCAGACCCGATGTGCAACTTGCAGTGCCTTAAAACGACCACAGACCCCCCACCGCCCAACAACAACCTCTACGCCCTCTTCGTCATCCCCATCGTCGTCATCATTGTTCTCATCTTGGTTCTTCTCTGGTACTTCCGCTACAGACGACCCTCGGAGAAAGTCAAAATAGACTTGAACGAATTGGGTTACGTTGAAAACAGGTCAAAATACGGCGGTACGACGGCCAGGCGCAAGGATACGATATCCGGATTGTCCCTGGCCAATGCCGGAGTCAGGAACGAGGTGTTTGCTACTATGGGTCGAAATTACGGATTTTCTTTGGAAAATGGCGACTTCACCCCGGCACCTGATGACGACCTGGGAATTTCCAAGAAAGAAGAATACGAAGATGTTAAAACAAACATGTTTTAAATAAATATTGCTGTAAAAAAATTTTACGATCAAACGTCAGATAGCATGCATGAAGATACAAATGATAAACACTGAACAAAATTACTTGATTGCAAGATACTTTCATACTTTTAACGATCGAATGTTGCAGGAATTTATTTATGTTCTTATCCATCTATCACTAATCACCTTACCATTTTGAATAATGGTGAACATTCCTAATACATTTAATTTCTACCGAAAATGTCAATGATGACTAAAACTGTAAATAAACTTTAATATTTAAAAGATCTAACATTTTTATAAAATCATAGTGACAATTCCCATTACGGTTATACGCATGCGTTATATACGTAGGTCATAATATATTACGTATGAAATGTCATCAACGTTAAAGATGAAAATAAATGGCTACATAAACCACATAGACAATAAAAATCGTTGCTTATCACTTCAATTATCATCACAATCATCGCTATTATCATCATTAACATGTTTCATCACCATCTTCATAGTTATTATCACCAGTCGAAATAAATCTACAGCTGATTTGGACTGTTTTTTTGGTTGATTTGACATTTTTCGAAAGAATAAAATCTTTAACCTCAAAATTTTATTCCAGAGTTTTATTTCGATAACATTATCATATAATATAGTAGTGTATATATATATATATATATATATATATATATATATATATATATATATATATAAACCATATTACTCATAAACCAGCTTATATATATATATATTTATACACATTTATATATATATATATAATACATATATAGAATTAAGACTGTCAGAAATGCAGTTTTTGATGAAGCATGTTCCGCGTTAGTTAGCTTCCAGTTTAATTTTTCGACATTTCTAACGGTAGATCGTAAATCATTGTCAAGTTTCTTGAGTTTAAAACTAAAATTTTAATAAAACTAAATAAAAATTTTGGTTTTGAACTCAAGAAACTTAACAATGATTTACGATCTACTGTTAGAAAAATCGAAAAATTTAACTGGAGGCTAACTAACGCGGAACATGCTGTGATTTTCATCAATAATTGCATATATAACACACACACAGACACACGCACACACAGACACACACACACACATATGTATATATAATACACACATATACATACATACATACATACAAAAACATATATAACAGATAAGAAAGCTCCAAGAAAATTGAAGTCTTCGAACAAATATGCATACAAAAGGACAACTACTACATGGTGCATATGCCTGAATAAGTTAATGGAAAGAATTATATATATATATATATGTTTAAAAAAATAGTTATATATATATATAAACTTAAAAATTAGAAAAATCTAAAATTGTTTCACTACCCATATTAAAAATATATTAATATATTTCGTCTATATATATTTGATTACGTAAAAATGATTTTTAACGTTGTAAGCGTTACACATCTTACAAAGTTACATACTAATCGTTCTATGTGTGTGTGAGATGTTTTGGCGGTTATTGCACTTAAAAGCAGCAGATGACAAATGAACGTCAGCCGGATAGATCTGTAATATGTGAAAAAAATAATTTATTAGGCTGGGCGGAAAGGCTGGCTGGATGAAAAAATTTACCAAATTTCAATTTTCTTTCTGGTTTAAAATTGGGTAACTTAAAAAACATTCACTCAAAAATTAGAAGTAGAGGACAGAGAAATATAAACGTTATTTTGTTGCGTGAATTTGGTGACAATTTGTATACAAATATTCTGTATGTATGCCTTCGTGTGTGTGTGCGTGTGTGTGTGTTTGTGTGTATGCGTGTAGTATATACGTGCGTGCGTGTGTGTGTTTTGGTACGCTAGAAAAGTTTTGAGACTAGAGAAATAAATACTTAATAATATTAAACCAGCTGAACAATTGAACAATTGCAACGTAAAAATAATTCAGAACTATGAAAAAATAAATAAATAATGAATAGGTGTAATAATATTTATATTTCAATATATAATAAAATACAATAAATAAATAAAGCCTAGAATAAGTAAATATTGAATGAAAAAAGAGAAATTATTTAGATTAAAAGAAAAGAGAAAAAAACCATACCACCAGCACGAGCAAAATTTTATATAAGCATCAAGATGTACAGCTCAAATAAATAAAAACACACACACGCACACACACACGTACATACGCACGCACCACACACACACACATACATACATAAAAAAATACATAATTATATATCAATATTATATGAAGACACTATACTAGATATTACAATAAGAAACCATGTTGCAATATCAGAGCATATAAGATGGGACTTTAAAGGCACCATGTATAAAGCATATATCATTATCATTTAGTTATCACCATCCTAAGAATAAATGGCATACAGAAAATATATTTTGTATGTTGTAGAATGTAAAAAAGTGAAATAATTACAATGGTTGTCAAAAATAACATTACAATACAAAGATGAATGACTTATTATACAAATATTATATTATCTATATAGGTGAAGCAATCTCTCTCTCTTTCTCTACCTCTATCTCTCTATCGTTCTAAACCTATATATATATATATATCTATATATATATATATATATATATATATATATATAGAAGGAAATGATAGAAAGTAAGAGAGAGAGAGAAAAGAGAGAGAGGCGGTGAAGGATTGTGAACAAAATGAGAAAAAGAAGAATGATAGAGATAACATGAAAGAGAGAGAGAGAGAGAGAAAAGAAAGAAAGAGAAAGTGAGAAGTAGGAGAGAAAGAAAAAAAGAAAGAAAGAGAAAAACAGAAAGAAAGAAAAACATTTGATCTTCAGTTATGTGAATAAATGCAAAAATTTGTCAACAAAGAAAGATTAAAAGAAAATGAATAAAATAATATTAAAAAAAATCATTTAGGGCCATATTTCTGGAGTTAGTTAGACAAACCATCGTACATATTAAATAAATAAATAGATTGAATATAAAAAAAAGAAATAACAATATCCACGCACACATATTTACAAACAAACAGACACGCATACATAGAGGGACTAACAGATTAGTTAGTAATAAAACAGATCTACACGTTGTTTGTTTCATCAAACATCTCAATAAAATCAGCATATTGTATATAAAATGTAATGCAAATTGGTCCATATATATATATAAGGCATACAAATGACTGACACACATACGCACAAACACACAGACAAACAAACACATACACAAACACACACAAGACACACAAAACCCTTTAAAGCTGACAAGAATATCGAATGGAAAATAGAAAAGAGCGCGAGCGCAGTCGCCGTCATCATCATCACCACCACCACCACCATCATTATCATCACCATCGCTTACGTCATCATCGCTATAGCCTACGTCATAATGGTCGTCATCAACAATCATGTTGGTGTCGTCTTTTCTACATGGCTACAATATAACGATGATGTGATGAGAGGGTGGTAAGGAAATGATTACATTAAGTACACAGAGTAGAAAAGACAAAAAATCACATTAATAATAATAATAAAATAATTATAATAATAATAAAAATAATAATAATAATATGTCGGCAGCTTTTTGTCAGAGTGTATAAGAATAACTTTGGTACGGAGCTATTGAATGCGAAAAAAATTACAAATAATAATAATAATAACACAAATAATAATAATAATAACAACAAAAATCATGATGGTGATGATAATCAGAGGACGACAGCGGTGGCAGCAGCGTTGACGACCGGCTTCAGGTCGCTCTTTTTTCTCATGCTTCTCCTCACCGCGTCCGCTCGTCTGTAAGGTTCACTCTTGAGATCTGTGATGAAGATGATGATGATGAGGATTGTGATGATGAAGATTGTGAAGATGATGATAAGTGTGATGATGATGACTGTAAAGATGATGATAAGGATGATTGCAATTATGATGATTGTGATGGTGATGATGATGACGACAACGACGATAATGATGATAGTGGCAATGATGATGATTGATTGATTGGACCTCGAACTTACTTGTAAGAATGTCTTCTAGCGTTCCATGGCCAATCTCATCCCTGTTTAAAACTTTCTTTTCTCTAATTCTCTGCTGCTTCTGCTTCAACTCGCCAACAACTGTTTCCTGTATTGTTGTTTGTTGTGGTTGCACGGATGTTTGTTGTGGTTGTATTGATGTTGTTGCATTGATGTCTTGATGTTATTTGGTTGGCGTTGTTGCTGTATTCATGCTGTTGTAATTTTGTAGATGTTGTTGTTGCTGTTGTTTTCCTTGGTCTATAATGTTGTTGTTTGTTGATGGTAAAACGTCAATAACCTCAAAGACAACAATAAAAACATAAAAAAAAAACAAAAAAAAACCTGAAGTTGTTTCTTATTCTCTCTTTTATTCTCCTTGACCGAAGCCTTGATAGTCTTCTGGGCCTCTTCCAGTTTCATCATGTTCTCCAGATCAACTTCAGCTTGCTGGTAACAAGCGACGATATCATCATTAATTTTTTATTTTAATTTGAAAAGAAATATTCAAAATTAAATTCTAGAATGAATAACTTCAATAAATAAAAGTTTAGAATGAAAAATCGCTATCAGCTAAAGCAATTGTGTGCAATTCAAATTAGCAAACCAATGATCATACAATAATTATCTGGTTGTTAAGCTCTATATAACTTAACAACAAGATAGCTTATTGTGTGCTAATAAAATCTATATAGTTGGTTATCTTTAAGATAAATATTATTAATTTAATTTATTTTTGTAATTTTACAAAAAAATTCCTTGAAATGATTAGACCTATTATTGAATGATTGACTGAGTGAGTGAATGAATGAATGAGTGAATTAATGAAAAAATAAACAAACGAAAAAATAAACGAGAGAACAAATGAGAAAAGAATGAAATAACGGTCGAACGAACGTTTGAATGAAAGAAAGATTGAATGAAAGGTTAAATGAAGAAACGAATGAACAGAATGAATGACTGGAAGGATGAACGAATAAATGAAAGAACGAATGAATGAAAATCTGGCAACCTTAAACGCTTTGATGAACCTCAGGAAGAGATTGAAGAATGTACTAGGAGAGAGAGTCTTGACATTTTCGCCGAAGTATTCTACGACCTGGCTGTATATGTCCTGTTATGTGGTGGGTCAGTTCGTTCGTTCGTTCTTTCGTTCGTTCGCTCGTTTATTCATTCAGTAAAGATAAATAACAATTCATTCATACATTTAGCTATTCAATTATTCATCACTTTTTAGAAACATAAAAAATAAATTAGTTAATTATCCAATTAAAAATTGAAGATTCAAATCAGCGCGCCATTCATTCACCCAATTTATTCACCCCTAATCCAATCAATTAACCAATCATCCAGCTAACCAGGGCAGTCAAAAACCAACCAGCCAATCAAAGAACCATGAGACTAACTAGCCAGCCGACGAACCCATCAACCAGCCAGCCAACCAACCTGAGCCTGTTTAGCCTCAATTTTCAGTTTCTTAATCTTGTCATCGGCATTGCTAACGAAATCCTTTAAAATGATGGGAACGTCCCTATCTTTCCTGTGCTCGTACTCACGTCTGGTCAGCTCCATGCCCTTGTCCAACTCCGAAATGTCAGAAAGAATGTTTTCCAGGGATACTTCGAAAATAATTTTAACTTACCATCACCATAACATCATCATAATTATACTCATTATTACCACAACAACAATACATTACCACCACACCACACCACAGCAACAAACCTGGAGCTGCCTTCTCAAGGTGCCTAATCTCACAGTCGAACGTCAGTATGTCGGGGAACTTCTCCCTGACACTCTTCACGATGAAATGAAGCAGAGTTATCTTCTTATCATTCGACTTTGTATCTGTCAGCTGTTAATCAGTCATCATCGTAGCAATGATTTGGTATGCGATGGTGATGACGACGATGACGATAACAAGGATGATGATGAAGATGACGAAGACAATAATAATGTACATGATGATAACAATGATGATAATGACATACAAAAGGTACAAACAGTCAAAATGACCAACATACAAAGGATACAAACATATAAACAAACAAATACAAAGATGGAAATAGATGGAAACAAATATACAAAGATACAGATACAAACGCAGACACAAACAAGTATAAACAGACACAAACACGTACAAACAGATACAAATAGAAGCAAATGTAAACAGATACAAATGGATACAAATGGATACAAATGGATACAAACAGATACAAACAGATACAAACCATGTCTAGACTCTGCAATCGAAAACCATAAACAGCGCCTCGCTTGCAGCTATTCATATAATTGCCAAAGGCAAGTATGACCTAAGAAATAATTTTTAAAAAATTTATTAATAATAAATAATAATAATAATATAATAATAACTATGATAAAATTAAAAATGTAAAGTGACCTCAAATAATTTTCTCAATTTCTTAGATTCCTTGATGGAGAGTGCCGCATCACATATTGCGTGGAGTTGCTGCGATGGAAAAAAAATGTGACATCACTATCAAAACTACCGCAACCATTATCACGATCACCACCACCACCAAACATCATCATCATCGCCCAACATCATTATCATCATCATCACCCAACATCACTATCACAATCGTCCAAATGATCGTCTTCAACGTCATAACCGTCGTTGTAGCCATTATAAAATGCCTTCGTCGTCATCATCACCTTCGCCATAATTGCAATCAGCATGACGTCATCGTCATAATAAGAAAATAAAAATAAGTGAATGAGAGAAGATGAAAAAATGTAAAAAGGAGAAAAGGATATATTAGAAAACAAATTTACACGAACCGGTTGTAAAATATGAAACGTATCAAAGAAGTTTCCAATGAAACTCATTATCATCAGCTTCTGAGGCAACCTCTCAACTTTCATTAACTGTTGTTGTTGTTGAAATATGGAAATTAATTTATTCATAATTAAAAATTATGCATAATTATGATAATGTACAACCCCAATCTAACAGCCAGTGACATATCGACACATACCTACCTAACCAGTTACAAATGGAAAAATTGCTTCATCCCAAATAGCCATGCACCATACCACACCACACAGTAGCTGCTAACAAAAATTGGCACATCTCTTATTTTCCTAATCACATGCTAAACCCCACACTATAACTGCAGCACATCTTTATTTTGACGAATCACGCCCTAGACCCAACTATAACAGTTAGCGACGAATTAACACATCCCTAATTTCCCTAATCGTACACTCGCCAGGACAAATCCCGACCCAAATGCTAACTAACATAAATCATGAATCGATCCTCATCAGACAGCATGTCCAGGGGTTTCTTGTCCTTCTCGTATTCCTTGAACAGTTTCGTTTCCTGCTCGTTCGGCATCACTCTTATCAAAATTTCTACCCTCTCCAAGGTCAACTTCTGAAGGTCAATTCTGAGAGGGTTTTTTTTCAGTTTTAAGAATGAAGAGATGACACGAAATGATTAAATGAGTGAATGAATGATTGATTGACTGACTAAATGAATGAATGAATGAATGAATGAATGAATGAATGAACGAACGAACGAATGAATGAATAAATGAATGACTAACTAAATGAATGAATGAATGATTGAAAGAATGAATGAATGAATGGATAGATGGGTGAATGAGTTAATGTATAGACGTAAAATGGATGTAAAATAAATAGATAGATGAATGAATGGATGGATGCAACGATGAATTAACGAAAGATAGATAAATGAATGAATGAATGCATGAAAAAAATAAATGAATTAATTAATCAGTCAATCAATTAATGAAAGAGATAATTAATTATACTGAGGTTTAATTTACCCAACAATTAATGATGATTAATGATAACATGACAAAGGAATTATATTAATCATAAATTACATTAGTCATGAATTATTAAATTATAATAATAATAAAAAAAATAATAAAAAATATTATTATTATTATTAATATTATTATTAATATTATTAATATTATTATTATTATTATTATTATTATTATCCTCATTAACAATAACCATAACAACAATAATAACATTGACAATTAGAAAAAATAAATATATTACAATAATAATAAAATAATAATAATAATAATAATATAGTTACGTGTTGATTGCCTTTACTATTTCGTCATCCCTTATTTCTATCTTCCTTCTCGTAATGGCTGAAAATTAGTGGAATGAATGAATGAATGAATGAATGAATGAATGAATGAATGAATGAATGAATAAATGAATGAATGAATGAATGAATGAATGAATGAATGAATGAATGAATGAATGAATGAATGAAGGAATGACTAAATCAATCAATCTTATTTTACTTTCGACAAATCCTCATCACATCAATACTAATCATTTTAATCGCCAAATGAATTTATTTATCCTCAAAAACAACAGCAACAACAGCAGTAGCAGAAGCATCAATACCATCATCATTAATATAAAAACAACAGCAACAACAACATCTTATCATTTTTTTGAACATCACTATCGTCATAAACAAAAACGTCATTATCGATTCGTTTCCGCCAACATCATTGCCATTGCAACACTCTTACTTGCCCACTCACTCACTCGCTCGCTCACTCACTCACTCACTCACTCACTCACTCACTCACTCACTCACTCATTCGCTCACTCACTCACTCACTCACCGACATTCCTCAATCGATTAGATTCGAGTAGCGATAATTTTTCCTGTTTCTTCTTCGGCTTGATGGTTGCAGACGCGGTGTCTGGCATGTCCACGTCCAGGAGCGCCATGTTTCCAAGTTTGAATAGATCCTCAAATTCTTTGAAATCTAAGACCTGTGAGTATGTACGTGCGTGTGTGCGTGTACGTTTGTGTGCGTGTGTATGTGTGTACGTGTGTGTGCGTGTGTGTGGTGTCTGTTAATGATGACGAGGGCCATGATGAATGAATAAAGAATGCGGTAATGAATGATGAAGTGAATACAACATACGAATGTTGTAACATGAAATTTATAAATTTTAGGTATTGTAATAATGATAAATAATGATGACCTTGTATAGTTTTTCATCGTCAAGGTCGTTGAACATGGTGCCCTTGACCTCGTTGGGTTTCATGGAGATCCAGTTGAGTACTGGAAGTCTGTAGGTCGGCTGGATGGCTTTCTTAATGGTAACTGGTTGGTCGGTTGATCGTGAGAGTGATTGTTTGATTGGCGATGCAAACGGATGAATCGACGATAGTTGAATGAATTTTGAAAAACTAAACACAAAATGAAAAATAAGCAGAGGTAAGTACTAGCACTTCCTGGCAAGCCCATAGGTGGAGGAGGAGGAGGAGCCCCGAATGGGGGTGCAAGAGGAGGAGGAAGGGGCACCGTAGATGGGGGTAGAGGTGGGGGCATAGGGGGCATCGGTGGAGGTGCAAATGATGATGACGCTGATGCCGTTGGACTTTTGGGTGGAACGAAAGATTTTGGAGTTGTTGGCGTTGAGGCAAGAGACGATGATGACGTCGGTAAACCACCTGGTACTGCTGCTGATGATGAACTGGTCTCTATGGTTGGAGTGACGATGATGAAGGTAATGATGATGATGGACATGATGATGGTGATGATGGTAATGATGGTGATGATGAATAATGATCCTCACTGTGCCCACTCCTTAGAGCTGTTATCTCGGCATTCTGTTTCTCAACAAACTCCTAAATAGATCAAATAATTATCATAAATTATGATAAACAATGCTAGTTATAATGAAGTATAATTAATTATTTATAAAAAATTATAAATTTTATAATAATAATAATAATAATAAAAACAATAATAAGCCATAATAATTAAATTACATACATACCAATAAGTTATCTTTTTCAACGCAGACTTCTTCCAGCTTCTGGCTCAATTCATCTTGATTAGATCACATTAAATTGAATAATAATGATAAAATAACATTAATAATAACAAAACAACAAGCAGAAAACGACCACAGCAGTAGCAAATACAGTAGTAGTAGCAGCAACAGAAGAGGCAACAAGCGCCACATCAATTCAACAACAACAACAACGACAACAACGACTCCATACTTATTTTACAACAGGCATAGTCTTCTTGCTCGTGCATTTTATCCAAAGTCTGAAAATTAGTTATTAAAGGTAATAATTATAATTAACATTAATTAATTAAATATTATTTAACCATTTACAAGTAAAAACAATATCCATTCAGTACCCAAATTGTCATTATTCAACCACAAACAACAGAATTTTTATCTAAAAAGCAGGAAAAACTCGTCAGAGCAAAAAACATCACCAACGGCCAACCATAAAAAAGTACGACTACCACAAATATTTCTAACATGCGACAATTCTTCCTGCAGTTCAGACACCCTCTCTAGGGCGACGGTCTTCAGATCGGACTCATCTAACAAAGTCTGCACCTCAATTGTGTTGTCCAGGTAGGCATTGACCTGGATTGGCAGTCTTTCACTTTCCGTGTGACGTAGTTTCTGTGTGTGTATGTGTGGGTAAGTTTGTACATGGTATGTGTGTGTGTTGTGTGTGTGTTGTGCGTGTGTGTGTGTTTTTCCTACTAGTTATGCACTTTAGTGTTTAGTTTGGATTCTGTATAAGTTAGTGTTAATTTATAAATGAATGAATAATAACAAATCATGCCCCTAACCTGCAAGTAATCATCGAGACCCAACAGACTGAACTCGTGTTGTAGATGCACCCTAAAGTTCATATTCTCCACAGAGTGCACAATTATGTTAATGAACTGCATACAGGCTACCTGATTTGCATAATTTATTCATATTTAGAAAAATATTTAAGTTGTATTTCTGAGTATATGTATATGCGCGCACAAAAAATAACTTATTTAGCATTAACTATTCGAGAATTAGAAAAAACTATATCTAATTTGCATAATTTGTAAAAAAAATTGCCAAATTGAACAATTTTTTCATGTAAAAACACTAACAAAATCATAATTTATTCGCGTATTAAAAAAAATTGCTTGACCATAAAAACATATAACAAACAAATGTTAACCATGAAATCAATGTGAAACTCTTCATAGTGTTGAAAGTAGTACATGAGAGTCTGGAATCTATGTATCTCACCACAGACCTGTCAAAATTATTTCATCAACAATTTTTAGTATAAAAATTTCGGTTCTTTATTTTCCTACCGACAACTCATGATTGTTTGTTTGATTGATCAAGCAATCAATCAACCAACAAATCGATAAATCTATAAACCATTTACCAATTAGTCAATCGACCGTCGTACCACTGTAAAAGTTACTAACAGTTTTGAAGTTATCGAAGGCACTTAGGATCATCTGATGGCCCCCACTAACGAGACACACGGCTGCAAGTAGCTCCAACACAAGTGTCTTTGTTCTTGTGGCCAGAAATTAAATATCTTAATCATTATCATCATCGTCACATCCATCGTCCTCACCACCGACACAACATTTATGCCACTACATTCACGTCAACATCATCGCTATCGTTGTTATTAATGTCATTATTGTAATCAATATTTTTATCACTATCAACAGCTAGCCACCCGGCCAACCAACCAGCCAAACAAAACAACCGATCAACCAGCCAACCAGCCAACCAATCAAAACAAACCAACCGACCGACCGACCTACCAACCTGTAACTTTTATGATTAAGACTGAGGGCGATGGAATTAATGGCTTGCTCGTGACCAAACACCAAATTGAAGCCGTACTGTATCAATCGATAAAACACTTAACATCTTACATACATATCTACATGCATGCATACACATACAAACAGTCAAACACAGACAAACAAATTCAGACAGATAAACAGACACAGAAACAGACAGACAGACGAACTTGATGGTTCATGATGGCTCTGAGACACATGATGCAAACATGAACATCATTCATGGCAAATCCGTTGTGGTGAAATTTGGGGACGCGAGATTTTATCGAGCGTCGGAAGGAGAAGTTGGTAACTGCATGCGTCAGTGTATGATGAATGAATGAATGGAGTGAATGGAGTGTATGAAGTGAATGAAGTGAATGAAGTGAATTAAGTGAATGAATGAATGAATGAATGAATGAATGAATGAATGAATGAATGAATGAATGAATGAATGAATAAATGAATGAATTATGGGCGTGGCAACGTATTGATAGATGGATAGATGAGCGAATGGATGGACGATTAAATGAATGAAAAACTCGCGCGCGTCGGATTGAATGAGTGAATAAACAAGCAGTTAGATCAACAAACAAGCAAATGAAGGAATATATAATGAACATCATAAAGATTGTTGTTTTTGTTGATAATCACATGTAATATAACGTGTTGTGTTGTGTTATGACTGTATGTAGGTATATTATTACTATCTGTTGTGTTGTATTATGTCTGTATGTAGGTATATCATTACAATGTG